ATCAAATATTATTTATTCCTGTAACACAATATTTATGCAATGACCATGTTTTTTTCTGTTGGCAGAACTACATGAAAGTTTCCTAAAGAAGCCCAGCTTGTTTTAATCATTCACATTTTTCAACACCCTTTGTTCTTGCTTTGCAGTCAAAGGTCAAAACTCAAACTGCTACCTCAGGCAAACTTGGGAACAAATTCTAATTGTTGTGAGCTTTTTCAGTGAAAATGTAACATCATACTTCCACCTTTGTTAAAAGTGGACTCTCCATACTGATCATTTCCCTTTCGCCTGATCAAAGATGTGCGTTATGCACGTCTGTCACACACAGAAAGGCCTGCCTTCAACCGCAGAAAGAGTGCTGCTACCTGAATTCAACCTTAGTCCTTCTTTGAAAGCAGAGATCATTCTCACAAGGAATGCAATGGTAATCTTTGAACCCGACCTACAAAGGGCAAAGAGAAGTGAGGGCCTGCTCATGCTACAGTTTCAATTATGCCAAACACGATCCTAACACACAGTTTCTCCGACCAAATTAATATTTCTCTTAAGATGCACATTATAAAAGTCACATGGCATCTTTCCTACACGTTGAGAAATAGGGTGATGGTTGTCTGTATGCTAGCAAGGCTATCGGAAATTTCAGCGGAAAAGAAGCCTGTCCAGGGTGGTCAAAGAACCACATTACAACATTCAAAATGCTTGTATCCCACTGGACCATGGGTATAACCTTAATGCAACCCTAGATCAGGCACCCTAGCAATAATATAAGAAAGATATCATTTGAAATAGCTTTCTTTCTTGAAAGACATTTCAAAACAGGCAAGATTGAGTGTTTCAAAAACAAAGTAGAAAAAAAAACACCCTGTTTAAAAGGCTGACACAATGATAGTAAAGAAAGGAAAAATTAATGGAAGAGAGCGAAGGTTTTCCCAAGGGGAAGGGATATGACATAGGGAGTTTTTTAGTATTAAAAGACCACAGCCAAGAGCTGCAACGTACCCCCTGGGGTCTTCCCAAGTACCCCCCAGGACTACACGCACCTCTGGTTGACAACTCATGTTAGAGCATGACTGCACCTTAAACATCTTGAATCCATGGACTGGTACCACATACAAGAAATATTTTCAACTGACACTTACTGAAGAACACATTACCACATAAGAAAGGTCTATGCTGTAAACGTGTCAGGGTTCAAAACCAGCTGTGCCCTTCAGGCCACTATTGCTACCATCCATTAAAAAAAAACGGTGGATAAATTCATGTGTCAGGAGCAAACGGAGCTTTGCATATGGCAAAAAGTGTTATCTGGAGGTTTTTCATGAAGCATTTATCAAACATTCCAGCCCAGTTTTTCTGGTTTTGGATACTAATACATTGTTGTTCTTGTTGGAAACTGGTGCGAGCTGACCTTGTTTCAATGCTGGCTGCATGGCTTACACTGACCCTGTATTAAGTTTTGTCCTCAACATGCAAAATGCTCCTAATGTTAGGTATCCTTTCATCTGCTAGGAAACTGTTTTACTGCCTCAGCATTTTCTGTTCTTAGGACACAGTTAACTCAAGCAATCAGCACCTGGGTCTGCGCCCACATGTCTGTCTAGCCATCCTGTGAAGTGCCACAAAGCCAACCTATGCCCCAGCTGCCATGTCCTCACTACAGCTGTAACTATGCATGCCTGTCTTGAACATCTACAGAGGCATGGCGTCTCTCGTGGTTACTTCTTCTGCAATAAGCCAACACGTTGATTCCTTCTCAAATAAGTGTGCGAGAACTTGCCCGTCCTTCTAGGCACAGGAGGGAGTTGTGGGAAGACAGTGGAGAACAAATAAGTAGAGAAGGGAGTTAGCCTGCACCCTCAAGAGTTGGCAGCCCAAGTGAAAGCCTCATACTCACTAAACCCCAAAGTTTAATGAGCCAAGCTTGAACACAGAAGAGCCCTGGTTAATTCCTGCAGTGAACATCTACCCCTTGCTTTGTGGTGGAATATTCACTGTTTTTAGCATTAGTGCATCATGCTCTCATCACACCTCCACTCCTACCACCTGCGCTTCCCACTGCTATCAGTTAATTGGGTCTCAGATAAGAGCACCACATTGGCCTTATGTATAAACAGATTTCATGTGCGTTTGCTTTTATGGCTTTACCAACTGTTCCCCCCGCCCCATATCAGCCTATAGGCACTTATCTCAACTACCCCTCATTCAGGGTGCATTCCACCAACTGCAAAGATTATCGTATGGGGGGGCGGGGGACTGACCTGCCATTAAAGATGGTTCAAGACATGCATTAAAGAAAAATGCGCATCTCTGATGTGCAATATATTCAAAAACATAACTGATCATTCTCAAGCCCTTGTTGTATTCTCTCACTTAAGAGTTTACGACACCAAGTCACCAAGGCGAGTGGAAAAAATTGCACAGAAAAGAGTATACATACATAACATGCAAGCTCCAAAAAAAAAAATAAATAAATAATCACCCTCCTCATAAAGCTTAGCCATACATCAAGCACAAACTTTGTATATTATCCCCATGATGAGCTGGATCAACAGCATATACTGACATAACACCAGGGTTTCGTGGAGTGATGCCCATTTACCTCAGCTGAAGATCTGACCCACTGAATATAAAAACGTCGTCAGAACCAGGAAGACAAGTACTCCAGGGGCAAAAGAGTCTGGCGTTCTGTTTCTGCACTCCAAAGGTAGGTCTGCTCTCCGTCTCTAAAAATCCTCCGGGTCATACATGTGTAAATAATGCAGAATATCTGCTACAGTAGTAATTCATTCACAGTACAAAACCAATGACCTCCTATGGCATTACAAAATGGATGGTTCCTTCTGGCTACTCTTAAGCAACACAATAGCTAGCATAACCCTCTGACCCCAAAACAGGCAGGTTTATGAAAAGTCTATTAATAAATGGCTTCTTGTTTTCTTTCCTTCTCCCCCACCCAAACCAAAACAAAAGGTCTCTCACAAATGAGCTATTAGCTACTGATACCAGCAAACAAAAGCCTGTCTTGTCCCGACACATGAATAAAAATGAGCAAGGAGGGGGTTAGAAGATCCACCAAGCAATTCCCCATAACCTCCAGTACATGATACACTGCACTGCAAAAGGAAGTCAATGCATTCTGACATAACAGCTGTACACAGAGTCACATTAATTAAAATAAAAAGCTAGTCTACATAACGTACAAGCAATTCACTGAACCTTACTGACAAGTTGAAGGAACCGTTCCTTCAAAGATGCATAATTCAGGAACAAGCCGACTGGTTATACAGAAGGCAACAGCACAAAAGAGATCCGCAAGTATTTGAGAAAGTCACAGCTATTTAAAGTAAAACAAAAAGCACGACCAACTATAAAATACACACAAAGGAAGTGGTAGGATGGATTACGTCAGCCCTTGCCTCAATTCATAAATCCTAACCGCAAAACAAGACAAATGCTGAACTGTCTCTCTCTGGAAACCTGCTTAAAGTGAATACATGCAGTTTAAGTCTTAAAATATGCTACCGAACAGCACTCGCTGATGCATCACTTTCAACAGCCACAGGGAAAAAAAATGGTGTAATCCTAGTCAATTCTATCGTGCAGCCAGATCAAATAACATCTCAAGAACAGCCTGCCAAGCACCCAGCCTGCCAGAGTACAATAAGCACTCAAGTGCTCTGGACTCAAAACCACCTTTCGCTGCTCCCAGAGATCCTTACAAAATAGTTTAAACACTACTAAATTACAGGGTTGGGAAAAAACACATACTGTACAAATAAAAAGCTTTTAAATGTTGCTCCCACACAATTCTTAACTTGCTGTAAAGCATCTAAAATGTCTGCCTTGTGATAGTTTACTAGGCAATATAACTATTCAGAAAGGCAAGTGCCTTTAAAGAACAGAAATCTGACAAAAATGCAGAGTTGGTTGCAAGTCTGGAACTAATTGCCTACAGATTAATGGCTTTACATTGGAATAGTGTGCCTCTGTCTGTAGGGTTTTAAATCCTGTTTACTTTAACTTGGAGTTCCCAGAAGAAATGCGCTGCTAGGATGTAGAGCGTTTAGGCTCCACGGATTAGGTATTAAGACCACCAGATTTCTCAACTTTTCAGTCAAGGTTTAAACACCAGAATCAAGTTGAAGTTAAAAATAAATAAATAAATAAATAAATAAATAAATAAAGGCTCCTTGTCAACTGCTATTTGCATTCACATACAATTAAAATAAATAAATAAATAAATCCCAGATGGTTGAAAGGAGCCTATCCAGTCGCACAATGCCCCATGCAGTGCAATGCCACATGTACTCAAAGAGAGGTTTAAAACCGATTGGAAAACAGAAGCAGAGCTGGTTTCTCTCTCAGGAAACAGAAAGTGGTCGAGCAGGTCTCCTGTCACTTCATCCGAGAATGAGATTTGAGTCAACGTTATAAAAACAACTTGCGCCCAGCGCTGCGCCCAATTAGGAGGACTTAAAAGGCATTCCAAGACGCTCCTGCATCTCAGCCAGGGAAGTGAAGGGGGGGCTGGTTTCCGATCAATCAAAACAGGGGGGGGAAGAAAAAAAAAAAAACCAACCCAGCTCCAGTCCTAACCCGGTTTGCATGAAATCACTTCTCATTAAAACGCGTGCTCTGCTCCGCAACTTGGAGGTGGGGGGGGAAGATTTCAAGCGTGCAAAGCTAAGTGCGCTCTTTGGAGAGGGCGGCTGTGACCTGGACGCGCTCTGGACTCCTGCCTCGGGCCAACACAAACTATCGCATCACCCACCCAGCGCAGCCAACTTTCTCTGAAAAATGTGGACTAGCAGAGGGAGGAGGAGGAAGGGGGGGATAAATAAAAGGCATACAAGGGCAAATGTTTCCTCTGTCCAGGTGGGGTGTTTTTGTTGCTGTTGGGATTTGATGAAGCAGCCCTACGCTTTCATTCTGGGTACAGGTTGGATGGGGGGGGGTTAGTGGTGACTGCGCCCCTGCCCCCCAGCCCCGCACTCACTCACCCAGCGCGGCCGGGCGCCGCCGCCTCCCCCGCGGTCCCGGCAGCTGCTCCGGCCTGACCCCGGCGGCCCGAGCGTTTCTTCGGCAGGAGCGGGCGGCTGGCACCGCCGCAGCCCATGGAGGAGCGGAGGGAGCGGGGGGAGGAGGCGGAGAGGCACTGGGTGAACAAAAGGAGGCCCCCTCGGCTGGGCTGGGCTGGGCTGGGCTGGCAGCGGGGCGGGCCGGGTGCCCCGCGGGCGGGGCCGCGGT